AAACCCAACAGGTAAAACTCAGGGGCTTCAAATGCCTACCAATCCAAACTGTTTCCTCCATTTAAACCTGTGTGTGTGTGTGTGTGCGTGTGCGTGTGTGTTTGCTTTATTTTGTTTTGTTTTTGTAGAAATGGGGTCTCGATATGTTGCCCAGGATGGTCTTGAACTCCTGGGCTCAAGGGATCCTCCCACCTTGGCCTCCAAAGTGCTGGGATTCACCAGTGTGAACTATCATGCCTAGCCCATTTAAAACTTTCACATATTATATCAGTTCATTTTACTTTGTACGAAGACATGTGCATATTATGTTACAGACAGAATTTTAAAATCTAAATGCTATGTTAAATTTACTAGATGATTATATGCCTACTATGTCCCCGTAAAAATTATAAATAAAAGTATTACATAAATAGGCTGGGCGCGGTGGCTCAAGCCTGTAATCCCAGCACTTTGGGAGGCCGAGGCGGGTGGATCACGAGGTCAAGAGATCGAGACCATCCTGGTCAACATGGTGAAACCCCGTCTCTACTAAAAACTACAAAAAATTAGCTGGGCATGGTGGTGCGTGCCTGTAATCCCAGGTACTCAGGAGGCTGAGGCAGGAGAATTGCCTGAACCCAGGAGGCGGAGGTTGCGGTGAGCCAAGATCGCGCCATTGCACTCCAGCCTGGGTAACATGAGTGAAACTCCGTCTCAAAAAAAAAAAAAAAGTATTAAATAAAATAATAAAAATAATAAAAAGTAAATTTACTAGATGATTAATCCCTTAAAAATTCTATTGTGAATCGTTTGTCAAATGAAGAATTATCCCTTTAAAATTGCTTTTCTAGAACTCAGATATTCATTATAAAATGCTTAATTAGAAAGACTCAGGCCCGGTGCGGTGGCTCATGCCTGTGATCCCAGCACTTTGGGAGGCAGCGGTGGGTGGATCACGAGGTCAGGAGTTCGACACCAGCCTGGCCAACATGGTGAAACCCCATCTCCACTAAAAATATAAAAATTAGCTGGGCATGGTGGCAGATGCCTGTAATCCCAGCTACTTGGGAGGCTAAAGCAGGAGAATCCCTTGAATCTAGGAGGTGGAGGTTGCAGTGAGTGAGATCTCGACACTGCACTCCAGCCTGGGCAACAGAGCAAGTCTCCACCTCAAAAAAAAAAAAAACAAAAAAACAAAGAAAAGAAAAAAATTTTTTTTGCTGGGCATGGT